CTCGAGCTACACCAGCATATCATCAAGTGTAGATTTTATAATAATGTAGCAATTTTTCTGAGGAAAAAAATGTTAGATCAAAATTAAGGAGAGGTTGACGCAATGTAATTTTCAAGTAAAAATCAAACTGTAAAACGTGATAAATGTTTCAGTATGTTTTAACATATGCTTTAACATTACTTAGTTTAAAGTTTACGTACGTTAGATATTTATTCACGTTTTCTTATAGTGCTGCGACTCTTTCTTGCCAATACCTCGGTTGCAATGGCTGCCAAGGGTTTCGTGTCAAATACGCTCCAAGGGACACTACTACTACTAACTACTATTGAGTTCGGCAATATTATATAGAAGATATATATATATATATACATATATATATATATATATATATATATATATATATATATATATATATATATATATATATATATATATATATATATATATATGTATACATATACATATACATATATGTATATATATATAGATATATATATATATATATATATATATATATATATATATATATATATATATATATATATATATATATATATTCTATGTATATATATATATATATATATATATATATATATATATACATATTATGTATATATATATATATATATATATATATATATATATATATATATATATATATATATATATATATATATATATATATATATATATATATATATATATATATATATATATATATATATATATATATATATATATATATGAGTCTCTCTCAACTTCAAACATTTGAATCTTATTAAAAAATAGTATTATTTCTAAATAAGAAACAACATAATTTAAGACGTTAAAGATGTTATTAAAATAGTTAACTTAAAATCAATAAAACATCGACAAAAGTAACCTTAATAAATCCATTTTACCCTTATATTTATGTATATTATATACAATTTGATATAAAATTTAAAAGTTTTAAATTAGTAACATCATGGCCTACTTAAATTACACGGCCTGATTTGTTGCCATATCCGTAAAAAATTAAGAGGCCAGTTTTTTTACGGCTCAAGTATAAAAACTTAATTTTTGTTATGGTTAAGAGTCTCTTTTGCACCATAATTGTTTTATTTTTATTTTATTAAAATGGTTTAATTATAGTTAGATTTTCTTTGAGTACTTACATTATTTTGTGCTAGATTTTCTGTTAACTGATAGCCTGCTTCAGTTTATTCCAACAACACAGAATACTGAAATAGGCTTCCAGATAACTATATCAACATACACCAACATGCTACTAAAAATAATCTCTCATGTTGCTTAGATTGCCTAAAACTCTCCATTGAGCAAAAAAAAGGTTTGTAGTTTTGTATTTTTTATAATTGAAATAAGAAGAAATACATTTTTGCTAGAAATGTTTATTTTGTCTTTTTTGGAATTCTTTTACTTGATCTTTTTTAAATGAATATGTATTTTTTTTTTTTTTTTTGCAAATTACTATAAAAAATATAATAATATTTTTTATATTAATTTGCAATACAATACGAGATCTATATTTGATTCCCATTTTTGGTGGTTTTTATTTGTAAAATTTAAACTGCTAGATCAAATCTTTAAAATTTGTTTCGCAAATTTTTAATTAAAAAAAAAATGACTGCAATGTTTTATTAGAATAAGAGAAATAACATAAAATACTAAAAAGATGACAAATAAAATTAGACAGAGGTTGAATTGAATATATAGGTTTTTCTCTTTATAAAGTAATGTTTATTGATCATAAGTTTAACATCAAAATCTTTTTGTTAATTTTTACCATTATTACTTGCTTTAGTATATATATTTGTGCTATCTTCAGAAAGCTGACAGTTTTATTTATGTAGACAACTAAGCAATATCTTGCATAATATTTTTTAAGAATTATCAAAATTCTGGTAAATATTTTCTGGGGAATTCTGCCAAAATCTTTTTACTTATGCACATTTCTAAAAGACTCACAAAAAGTCTACTATTGGTCATTTAACTATACTTAATAAAACCTAGCTTCAAAGGATCTTTTTGTAAATTAACTATAAACAAATGTAAAGCCTTTTTCAAGGAAATCATGCATAAGAAATACAATTGCGTGTAGTGTTGTGATTAGAGCACAAGAAGTTTGTTTGGTTAATGTCAGGTATTTATCAAATTTTATTTTGATCAAATTTCAGTACAATTTGCAATTTCTCTATAAAGTGTGGGTTTGTTATCACCTTTCAAAGCAGCATTGGTGAGTTTGATTAGATGAATTAAGTTTCTGCTTTGAATTAAGTATGATCAATAACTTATAAAACAATGATAATTGTGCTGTGTTATTTCTTTCAGAAAAATAACTCTAAATTAGCAGTTGTAGCTGCAGTTGTTTTGTCAAATATTGTCGATGTTGACAACTTTTTGTTGTTACCAAAATATGTAATTTGGTAATTAATTTTTCTTGCTTTTTCTTGCTTGTTTAATAAGTGATCTTTTAATAAAATTTAAGAAATATATTCCTTGCAATGTAATCAGCAGTAACTTCAACAAAAAGAAAAAACAAAAACCGAGTTTATCAAATAACAAATATATTTTAAACACTCCTTTTCTAAACTAAATGATAAATTATTAATTGTCCATCTCCAGTATATGCTTTATGAAACTATAAAAATGCATTAATATTTGTAGAATGGTTATCAGTAACAAATCTTATCTTAAATTCAGATTGGTGCATTGAGGTAATACACTCATCAATTTCTTTTTTCAAACATAAACCTGTTATGTAAACTTTAGGTTATAATTTCAAAACATAAGAATAAATTTTTGAAGCCCTACAATCATAAAAACAAAAACAAACTCTTTATAAAGATTGTTTTCTCAATCTTCATCAAATTGTTTACCACTTTGGGCTGCTTTTTAGAAGTACACCTTACCCACAAGAAGCAAATAATCTCTTAATACCAAATTTTTGTCAATGATTTTTCTAATATATTATAGTTTTTCAATTTGTATTTTTTACCACTGCGAAACCATTTTAATAAAGAAGAATGATAACCATTTATTTGGCAATGAAAAAAATTAGAATTTTATTAACAGCTATTGACTCCAAAACAATTGGTATGCCTGATATTTCTTGGCTACTGTAAATAAACAGCCTGATTTGTTACATTTTAATTGCTGTATGTTTGAGACATGCAGCATAAATAAAGTATTTACAATGCAAAACCTTGTTTTGCAGTGTAAATAATTTAAAGAAAAGTTTATGTTTTCTACTTAATAATTGCAATTATAATAAATACAAAATTACAAACCTTTAAAATTATTTCCAATAGAGAGTTGGGGGTAGTTTTAGCAATATGTAAGATTATTTTTAGTAGCATGTTAATATGTGTTGATATAGCTATCTGAAAGCCTATTTCAGTATTCTTAGTTATTGGAATAAACTGAAGCAGGCAATCAGTTAACAGAAAATCTAGCACAAAATAATTTAAGTAATCAAAGAAAATCTAACTAATAATAAACCATTTTAATAAAATTAAAAAAAAAAAACAATTATAGTGCAAACAAGACTTTTAATCATAACAAAATTTAAATTTTTATACTTAAGCCGTTAAAAAAACTGGCCTCTTAATTTTTTACGGAAAATGCAACAAATCAGGCCGTGAAATTTAAGTAGGCCATGGTAACATTAAAAATAGGTTATAAAATATAACATCATTAAAACATTTTTTATATCTTTATTAAAACAATTTTTCATCTGCATGCATTCTATTAAATTTTCTTTGCTTCTAACGAAATATTTGTGATGTTTTAACAGTGATTGTTTGAGGACTTTAATTCAACGTTGAATAAACGCATTTTTTCGAGAAGATAAAATATGTTTAAATTTATGCATTTATTCACTGTTGAAAATGTAACGTTTAAAAAGTTGTTTTTATTTAACGTTGATAAAGTTTAAAATTTGAAACATTTTTAAAGTGGCTTTTGCGTTAGTTGATTCCACGATGAATAAACTTTTTATTTTTAGAAGCTAAATTACGCTACGATTTCAACGCTTATTAAACGTTTCAATTTACCTTGATAGAGTATACAAAAACAGACATTGATTCAACGTTGAAAGCCCGTTGTTTTTGTGACTGTTACGATTTTTTTTATAATGCGACCGGTTTTTAACGTTGATTCAACGCTGACATGTTTCCTAGAATGGTGGAAATAAAGACCTTATTGTTAAACTTTGTAATCTTGGAGATTTTGATTAAGCTGATTGATCAAAAAAGTCATTAAAAATATAGAAAGAAATAAAAGTTCACCTGGCTCAAACAAGGACGATAAAATTACATTAATGGTAAAGTATTATCCTGCTTCATATTTAATCTAGTTTACTAAACATACTTTTAAGTGATAAATATGTACAACTGCAGTTACAAATTAAGTAGTTTTTAAGTAGATAAAAAGAATTATTTTAATTGTGAAATAAGTTTCTTATAAACCATTGCTTTTATAAAAGTTCATGTTTTTCAAAATTCTATCAGACATTATAACTTATAAAATGTGTCAGATATCAAAATTTGTCAAAAGTGTGTCAGACATCGAAATCAAAAAGTGAGACAACTAGTAACTCTTCTTGGAGAGCGTTCTCCACTTGAGAACCAAGGTAGGCACTGCTGAAATTTTGAAGGCTTCCTGAGACAGCGAAGAAACAGTTTTTGTGTTTTTTGAATACTTTGCTTTAATCAAGGTTATTTAACATTTTAAAAACAACATTATAATAGATTACTTAAAAAGCTTATATAACTATGTATTTTTATTAAAACCTTATAAAGCTATATATTTTATAACAGTTTTATTGGTAACTGTTTACGAATCACATCATTGTAACTTTTTTTTTAGCCAATTAAATAACAATGAAATAATTAGGTAAGAAAAGGAAGTTTCATAACAAATTCAAAAAGTTTGAACCTCCTAAAATTCATGATGTGTAAGCTTTTAAACTTTTTAAATAAAACAGTAAATTATTTTAG